AGGCCATAAGCTTTCGAAATCGAATAAATGACTTATTCTTGAACGTATTTTTTATTATTTATCTAAGGACATCCGCAACGCTAGTTTTTTGCCCTATTTAAATGAAGGGTGAGCCGTTAGATGAGATGCAAAGCATTCATTTAATGTAGACCAACGTTCATCCATTCAGTCCATTGAACGATATAATGTTGCTTTTTTATTTTTTTGTTCTTTTTTTATATTTAACTCGATATTTAGATGTCTATTGATGCAGTTTTTTTTTTTTTTAAATATTTGATGTGGGCCCCCAAATTATTTATTTTTAATTTTATATTAAATGAATGGATAGTGAGTCTCATATATATGTATTTAAATAAATAAATAAGAATATGAGTGAATGTTTAAATGAAACGATGTTTAGTGGAGTGATGGCGTGGGCATGAGTTGGATGTGAGAGAAGGTATAATTTGTGATTGAATGACATATAGTTTTGCTATTGAGTCATTCCACAATTATCTACAAATAGTGTATTGACAGGGGCGAAACTACATGAAAGGTCGGAGAGGCGCCGACCCTTTCAAAAAAAAAAAATTTGAACTATCGGTGGAGGATTTTGTTGGAACTGGAAGGACGCCCTTTCGATCGGAGTGGGGGTGGTGCGCCGCGGGATGGCCGGAGTAGCGCCACTGAAAATGCGGAATCCGAAAACACAGAGCAGCTGAGCAAGGAGGCATAGATCCATGAAGGGAAAGCTGGATCGGTGAAAATTTGTATTTGTGTTTGGTTTTGTCGTGAAAATTTTTTTAAAGGCAAATTGGACCCTCTCCAAAACGAAATCCTGATTTCGCCACTGTGTATTGACACGTGCTATAATAAATACACTTTGAACAGATGTCAACAAAATCATTTGATTGCTTCATATAATTCTCGCAATGAGTGGCATAATAGAGTTGAGCTGCGGTGAAGGAATACTGTTTTTAAATTATTGTTTAATCAGTTGGCAACACGTGTCATTGTGTAGGGATTGAGGTGTCTTGTGTGTTTTGATACGTGGAGGGCGAAGAGTGCGTAGGTGGTAGTTGGCTCCACGTGTCCCAACTTGCTCTGTCGGTTGCCTCGAAATAAGCCTTTTTTTTCCAAAAAAAAAAAAGAAAATGTTATTGTATACAAATTCTTATACACATATTTTTGTGGTAAGATGTCATATTTTTTAATGATATTTTATAAGAGCATGATATTGCAATTTTTAATATACATTGTACTGAAAAAAAAAAAAAAATCAAGATTTACATAATGGGAATAAAAAAAATTATTTTTTTAATAAAACGTACTAGTAATTTTAATTTATTGTATCGCTTTAAATTTCACTAACAGAATTAAAATAACAAAAAGTGTTTTAATATTATATAATTATTTAAAATAAACAACCATTCATTAACTAGAACATATTGAAATATCAAATTAATATTCTATCATCATAATTATTATTTATCACACAAATTTTATTCTTTATTTATTTTTATTTATATACATTCATAATTATAAATTTGGTTCTTTCAAAAAAAAAAATAATATTTTATATTATTTTGTTTTTTCATCTCATTTTTTAAACAAAAACAATATTTTCTAAAGAAAACTCATACGGAACATGGTCTCCAACAGCCTTCCTTATCCAGTATCCTTCTCTATTTTAGAGGCCCAAATCCATATACCAAATCCAAGCTTATGAAGCAGATGATATAATCGAATCTCATATATAGTCCAGCTCATGAAGATATAATCGAATCTCATATATAGTCCAGCTCATGAAGCAGAGGATATAATCGAATCTCACATAGTCCATTCAAATTATTGGTATTTGCAGCTTGAATTTGATGGACTATATGGAACTCGATTAAATCATCTGCTTCGTAAGCAGAAGACATATTTGGTCTTCCAAGCGAGAGAAAGGAGGAGAAAGGAGAAACTAAGCCAGGAGAACAATTGAGGCGCTTCACAAGAAACCCTAATCTGTTGAAGAATAAGAAGTTTGGCTGTATTTATAGAGTACATGTTAAAACTGGTTTGGGCCTTCGGTCTGGGCCTGTGGGCGGTGCCGTCCGCGGGCCAGCCCACCATTTTTTATGATCTTGTTGAGCAAGTTGGGGCGGTGTTGAACTTGTGTGTGGTGGATATGAGTTATGGATTTGATACGAGGTTCCAATCTGTTTGAGGTGCGTGTAATTTTGTCACGAGTCTATATATATATAATTGCTAGCATATAAAATTTAATAAAACCTATTTAATAAAACATCTAAAAATTTTCCCTTCATTTTCGGTTACAAAATTTATCATTAATATTTTTTTTACTTCTCACATTAATACATCCTATTAAGTGTAATCATGTATTTTTTCTATTATATTATATAATAGTTATTGCTAATACCAACTAATAATAATTCACAATAAATATAAATTACCTAATTATAAATAATTGTTTCAAGTTATTTATATTAACATCAATATTATCTTTTCCTTTTGTATCTTATGAAAAATTTTCTTTAAATAATAATAAGTAAATTGTTTTAATAGTATAGTCAGACAATTTTGGAATCTTATAAACAATTATTTCTTAATAATAATAATCAAATCATTATTATATAATGATAATAAATAATTTTCATAATAATAAAATCATTAATTTATTTTTCCTAATGATCAAATTTTTTAAAATGTAATATGTTCATTATCTAGAATTTAATATTAAATTCTCAAATATTACTTAAAATATTTTATGTACATCTGTGCATGTGCACAGGATATCTAATAGTGGAATTAATTATAGCCGACTTTAAAATCCACAAATCGATGGAACCAAACAAAATCAATACTTCAAAAAAACCAAACCGATTTTTTTGCATACCAAAATTCGGTTACTACTATGTTTTGGGTTCGATTTTTGGTATTATTCTTTATATGATTTGGTAATAATTATATTAAAAAGAATACCTTTGATTTTTCAACTAAGAGCATGGTCATGCGAACTTGAATGTGAGTTGAGTGATACATATCAACTAACTATGAGAATACATACTATTATAGTAATGCTATTGGATTGAAAAAATGCATGAGTTATCCATCAGAGATTGGTGAATAAGATGTTTAGAGAACAAATAAATCGTAACATAGTGATATATGAGGACGATATGTTGGTCAAAAGACTGAGGAAAGAGGGACACATTCAACCTATTTGAGACCTTAAGAAAATATGAATGAAGTTCAACCCAAATAAAGTGTGCTTTTGTGGTATTGTCAGGGAAATTCTTAGGTTACATGATCACCAAGAGGGGGGGCATAGAGATCAATATAAAAGAGGTATAACTGCCGACAAGAAAGATAGCATGTCTAAATCGTTTCATCTCTAATGTAGTTAAGAGAAGTTGCCCTTTACATAGAACATTAAGAGAAGCTCAAAGTTTGCATTGACTGAGAAAGCACAACTAGCGTTGGATGAACTGAAAGTAATACTGCCGAGTTTTTCTCTTTAGGCAAAACCTGACAATGGTTCTATACATTTTAATTGGGCAAGTCGCGTTGAGCTCGGTGCTTCTACAAGAAGATAATGATGCCCTTTTATTAAATAAGTAGAATGCTAGAGATGGTAGAAACACATTATTCGGAGGTCGAGAAAGGGGTTCTGGCAGTAATAGCGACGTCAAAATATATTTTGGTACATAAGTTCTATGTTAGGACAAATCTGTTATGTATTATTATCAAACAAAAGTTCTTTTTATAATATTATGTAATAATTATGGAACTCCGTTGATTGGAAATAGAACCTCGGTCAAACACACACACACACACACAAGACTCTTGAAATGAAATTCATGAGTTGTCATGGTATTGAAATTGAAATGCTGTAAATGTGGAGTACTGACTTGAAATTACCCTTTAGTCTGGGTACTGAAAATCTGAAATCACAATTTACTCATAAATTTGCAATAGATCGAAACCATAGCACGCACCAAGACGTGGAGGTTTTCGGGAGCATCTTTAATTGAAGGTTTTGAATATGTATGAAAATACAAACCTGTAAGGTTTTCTATTAATTAGAGACAAAAGGTTTAATGTTTGCTTGAATATAAGAAATCTAAACAAAATTCAAATATTTTTAGCTCAATTATTTTTTATAACTCAATCTCACTATTTTAACGATTCTCAATATAATTAAACAATATCAATTAATCATTCTTACACACCACATCACATTAATTCACTATTCATCCACTCACATAATTTTAACTAACAATCAATTCACATCATTTATGTCCTACTTTTACATCAAATCAACTTTAATTATTTTATTTTAAATATTATTTTATATACAAAAAAACTAGACACAAAAAAATATATATATCCAAGAAATCTTATAATCTTGCTCAAGAATCTATTTTAGAGGGCCAAAACCTGATACATAAAATGGGCTGGGCCCTGAATTGAATCAATAAATGGGCTGTTGAGCGAGCAGTACAATCAAGTCTCAACTAAACTAATATAAGTTTTCAGCTTTGATATACCAAAAATATACCAAATTATTTTATATTAGAAAAAAATAACTATACTTAAATTTTATTTGGGGTTATTTTTTCTATAAATTAATCTATATAACTCATTTTAAGCTTCATGAAGCAAAGCTCTTTTAGTTGATAGACATAATGGAACAGAAGATCTCATATATATAATAACGAGATTAATGAACGATCAACAATATTAGAACTTTCAATTAATGTAAACAAGGAAAAACATCTGTTGTACCCAACTTGTCATAAGAGAGATTAATGGACGATCAACATTACAACTCAGGATTAGTAATCACATTACAACTCAAGATTAGGATTAGGATTAGGATTAGCTGTGGTGAGGAGGTGAATCTGTTGTAAAAGTGGGGTTAGTGTTTGCATGATCTTCTCGCACGGATGATTGTGAACTCCTTCGTACGTTGTTGTAACCGTACCACTGTCGTTACTTAGCCTCTGAACTTGTTTCTTAACGTTGCACATCGGGTGAGTGCACCGGTAATAGCTTCTTTTGATACGTACATGCATGAGACAAAATGTTAAAAATATTTAATTAAAATGGAAAAGATATATATGCACATGAAATTAAAATGTAGATAATTAGGAAATGAACAAGTTCATGGAGACTAGAAGTTTTGATTCTTAGTCAATCTTGATTGTCATATCCCTTCAAAAGTAGTCTTTCATAATGCAGTTGACCAAAAGAAGTTTTCGTAGCTTTTAAAATTGATCAAAATAAAGACGATATTCGCCGAAATTCCACGTCTGTAGCTACAAAATAACATGTCAGTTCCCACGTGTCATATTAGCTGTCCACGTCACATATCCACATCCATGTGGCTTTTTTATGAAATTTCAAAAGTATTCCGGTAACTCTATAAATGTTTCAATGTAACAAATTTCGGTTTGTTTATTTCCTACATTCGAGGTTATAGTTTTTTCATAATTTCAGTTTTCGATATTGTTCGGTTGGGTGCAAACCCCACTGAACAACACCAAATTGAATAAAATGTATAGAAAAATCGAGATAAAATTGAAACCGAGCAGAACCGTGCATTTCTGTGCGGTTCAGTTTGGTTATTAATTTTTTAGTGTACAAAAATTGGAGGTTCATATTTTATTCTAAGTTGCAGGGCGGTTCGGTTATTTTTTGTTCTAGGTTCGGTTATTTCGTGGTTTGGCGCCATTTTTCGCACAATTGCTCACTCCTATTATTGGAATCCAATTAATCAAAATAGCTGTCATATGTAATTAAATTAGCAATACTAGAACAACGTTAACTTTAGCCGGGCAAAATCAAAATCATGTAAATTTGAACTTCTCTCAAAATTTTTGAAGTCAAGATCTCATAAGTACTTCCATGTTCAAATATCTGTGATTCTGTGTAACTATATACATATTCTGAACCAATTAATGCATGCATTGCTTACCTGGGGAACTTGCTATTCTTAACAGATTTTTGTCCGTACTTTCTCCATCGATAACCATCATCAAGCACGTCCTCTTCGCTCCTCGTTTGAAACACGAACCGCGGCACACTCGGCTTCGTGCTTTTAGAAACATTTCTTCTTTTGTTCTTGCCGATATTTTCCGCGACAACATTTTCCGACGAATTTTCCGGCAGCATTGTCCCCCGATCACCAATAAGCCCACTAGTCGAACCTGAACTAATGTTCAAACCGGGCAACTCCAATTGATCGAGAACATGAGCCGAGCCTGACGGGCTCGGAAAAAGTGAAGGCACGTAAAATGGTGCCGATGATGACATGAACATTTGCCGTTCATCCATGACGGGCGGGTCAATTGATCGGGATTTTTAGAGAAGGAAAAATGAGTGAAGGGTTAGAAGGTGTATTTATGAAGATATAGTAAAGGTTTATAGAATGAAAGAAATTCACCGGTCAACAACATTCAAGAGTCAAGACTTCATATGGGTGTGTGTGGGGGTGTGTGTTTTAGTCCAATGACCAAGAAACTAGTTCAAGTTGGGGACATTTTTTTATTTTTATTTTTTATCCATGGTGGTAAATTCAGGCCAACTAAATTTCAACTAATTTCAGTTCAACTGCCCCGTGACTAGGTACCGTGTGTACGAGAAGCCTAACGTGAGAGGCCTTTGTCTTAGGTTATGTGTGTTGCGTTGATTACAAAGCATGTGTGTTTGGGTTAATTTAGTATATAATTTACCAAATGAAGTGCGTGTAGGTAAAGAATGATCTACCACAAGTCCACTACAGATTTCTTTCTTAATCTCAACAATACCAATATACCATTGAACGTAAACTCTTGCCTGAGACAGCTTATTTATATTTTCTCATAGTGTATGATGTGTAACCAGTATTTTGGTCCACTAACTTATGCTTAGTTGCTTTTTAGTCGATTTCATGTTCCGGGTTCAAAATTAGTACATTATAACTGCGGTTGTAAACGAGTCGAGTCGAGCCGAGCTCGAGCCCTTAAGGAACCGAGTTCGGCTCGACTCGGCTCGGCTCGTTAAAGGCTCGAGCCTTAATAACGAGTCGAACTATAAAAAATTATATAAAAATTCTATTTTCGAGCCTTATCGGGCCGTGTTCGCCAAACGCGCTTTAAATGAGCTCGAGCTCGACTCGTTAAGATCTCAAACTCGAGCAGAGCTCGAGATGAGCTGAGTCAGACTCGTTAAATTTAACAGCACTAACTATGACCCTGATTGGATGCATATTATATGGTCACTTTTCACCACATAATTTTTTTATCTCAACTCAACTCAACTCAACACAATCATTTTTAATATTATCAATATAATTAAATAATATTAATCAATTTTGTTCACACGTTATAACTTTAATTCGCTATTTTCACTCACATAATTTTAGCTACTTATCACTTTCAATCACATATTTCTTACTTTTACATCAAATTATTTTTAATCATTATATTATAAATATTATTTTAATACAAACTCAAAATTATAATCTAATATTTTAATACAAACTCAAAATTATAATCAAACCTAACCCAATCACCATTTAACTAAGGATTATGGTTATCCAACATATAGAGTCTTGACTTGTATCCAATCACCCCACCCTATAAGTGTTGGTTTATGACAAAACCCGTCCGGCTCCAACCAAGCTTATGAAAGATCTTCAATTACTATGTTTCATCTTTTATGATTTTTCTGGCCAGTTCAAGTGGTATGGCAACTTATGAAGCGAAACTACAAAAGACAGTGTGGTATCATCTAGTGAATCACTTAAACCAAATAGATACACCGACAATCAAACACCACATGAAAAATCCAAGGAAATAGCAAGTCAAAAGTGCTAACCCTTATACCTGCAAAATAAGCATTAAATTGGAAAGAACAATGTCGATTCTCTATATTCGGGAGCGAAAAGGAGACCAGCATAAATGGAAAAAAAACCCATGGTAATTAATTATTACATTCGATAAAACAAACTACAAAAATCTTGAACGGGCGCTGCCCATCGAGAACTTGGTCATCTTCAAAATTCTGTTTCTTTCCAATACTGTGAAAGTGCACCCCTTAAGTTTTCCTAAAAAAAAACGCTATGGATGTGAAGGGCACACAAAATATCAGCTGATGATCATCTTATTTAGGTACTGAGCTTGCTCGGGAAAATACTCCAACAGCTCGTCCTTTGTCACCCAAACATAATCTTCACACTTGCCTATGTTGAACTTGTTTGTGGCAATGACTTGAGATTTGAAAAAGAATCGCTGACAGCACATAAGGTTTCAAGCAAGAGGGAATTAGGCATGATGTCATCGAATTGAGAAAAACAGTAATCTCATTCGATAATTGTTTCGGTTTTAGAAATTGCATGCTCAATATAGGGATATTTATTATCAAGGAAAAATGCAAGCCTCTGCTACCTTAAGAGCCGAGTCATTTTCTTTTTCTGATGGCTGCATAACCATATGGCCCATTGGAGCATTTCCAACGAAATAAGTATGGCTAAGGTCTCCAATCACCAATTTTAAGGCAGACTCGGCACACTGTAAGTATTTGGATACATTTGAAGTCAAAAAATTGTACACAAAGGGCAAACTCGACAAAGCCAGAAAGGACGAGATCAGAATTACCTTACGCAATGTTTGTTCAGATTCATAAACCTTCTCGGGAAAGTGCCAGACGGGTTCCCCATTGGAACCATAGGCAGTGCCATAAATGAGAAGATAGAGTCTCCGGTCGAGCGCTCTCTCTAATGACCTACAAAATTTAACATGCTAGACACTTGTACTATGATATATAACATGACCCGCATAGAATCTCGAAAGCCAAAGATTATATGATGGCAGTACCGTTTGTCATTACTTTTATCTGCTTCAGTGATCCGTGGAGCTGGCGTAAAGTCAATTTGATAATCTCCTTTTCCCCTGAATGGTCATTCAAAACCGCATCAGTTTTTCATAAATGAGAAACAAATTTAACCATGTTCAAATTTGACAAGTAGAAGATTTTTAGGTGAGCAGAAAGACCAGCAAACATTGAGGACGACCCAGACCCAGACAAGAAGAAAAAGAGGATTGAATATGCATTCGACTCGCTCATAACCAACAAAGATGATTACTTGAGAATTTGCCTACTTCCAAACATAATATTTCGGCATACTATTACCTCAACTCTTCACGCCTACACTCTCATTTTCATACCTAGCCAAATATTAAGCTTTTCCTGTATAACACTATAAAATAAATATATATTTCATCCTAAACCGACATATGAACAGAAATCATTGGAAATATATTTCTATTTAAAAAATACCAAAATTTACCCTGAGATTACTAAGGCGATGAAAAAGAGTTATAAAATGCAAAAGCACAATATTCAAGTCCGATACAATAGAAAGAAAAGGTTACTTTGTCTATAGAGGATCGTTTTTGAATCGAGAGGAAGTACAAAATAAAACAACAAATTCATCTGATCATGGTTAAGAAATCTGACCAAAGTAACTGTAAAAATTTCCACCAAGTTATTTATTCGGGAAACTTCTCCTCTTATACTTGGCATTGAGACAAAATATAAAGAACCGGCTTCATACAAGAATAAAAGTTTCTAGCAAGCTTTGAACTACTGCAATAAATAACTGGAGGAAACTGCATGAGTATAAACATACTCCAATGAAGCTTTATATTAGTACAATGTGCACCTATCTCTGTGAAAATAATATAACAATTTAGAGGTCCCGCATAGAAGGTAAAAAATACGCCATTATAACTAAACTACATACGAAATACAACAATATTAAGTGACAATCCACTACATGACAGAAAAATGTCACAAATTCCACCTGACTGATGATGGAACTTATACTACAGAAAAACGGAGAACAAGAGAAGAAATAGCAAATCCTGAAAGGAAATCATAAATCCGAAACAGAAAAGGAAAATCATAAAAATACCTAGCCTCAGCTTTTTTCAAGAAAGCCTCTGGGTATTCCCGTCGATACTGTTGTCTCCATCGGAACCTAAAGCACATCCCAGATTGCAGCCATCATAAGATAATATGACTTAGAAACTTCAAAACCATAATTACCGGCAATATCAAACATATGTAGAGAATATCAAGTTTTATATGCATCCAGCTGCTCATTCTTTCATAAATCCAATACAGTGAGCTTGCCCAGTGTGTGCACCAATTATTGCTCTCAATTCAATCACTCCACATCAAAATGAACAAATAGGAATTGTTATTCAGATTAAGTAACAACTAACTACAGTCCATAAGCCCATCACAGTCCACAAAAACAACAAAACAACAAACAACAAATTTTATAAAGCTAACAGCTACAATTTACAACTCACTTGACCCAGCTTCTTTTCCAACACTTTATTCCATAAACTCATTTGATTTTGGTAATATTGCTACTTGCTATTAGAAATTTAGCTGCGAAAAAAAAAAAAGACAGACAGCAAGACCATAGCTCCATCCTCACTACATTCCCTCATAAAGCGCTACTCTCGTATCAAATTAGTCCTAACTGATTACTCTATTAGCTCAACGAAAAAGATATTAATAGAGAGAGATCCTTACGAGAACTCTTGAAAAGCATAGACTACAGGATCGATTTTAGGAATGACGACGGGAAGCCTCTCGAAGAGAACGGCGGCAACGATCTTCTCATCGCCCGCGGTCTTCGGCGCAGATGTGGAGAACAGACGCACCGCGGCCTGCACAGGCCGCACAAACCTCGAAAACGACGTCGCACTCTGCATTCTCCCACTTTCTGTGCGCTGTTTGTACACAAATACACACACATTAAGGTGTTGTACTGCCAGGAAAAGTAAAAATGTTCGAAACCCTAATTCATGGAGGAAGGATGTAAATGAAGAACAGTGGAAAACGGGAACGGCGAGGTTTACCGGACACCGGCGAGCTGCTGTTGCAGAATGCTTTTCTGTAGACCCTAATATCAACACGACAATCTAAGTCGCTTTTAGAAATGAGAGAAAAGCGCTCTTATTTTGACAGGCGCGTTTTTATGTTATTTGCTTCCTCTGTAAAATGCTATTATTGTTGAAGATGAAGCGTGCACACTTTCTATTGCTCTCGTGTTTTACTTCAAGAGACGTTTTTCTCTTTTTCCTTTTGTCTTGTTTGTTTTGTTTTAAAGACACGTGTAGGGTTGCGATTTCCCTGATCTGCTCCTTGTTGGGCATGAGATATTTTTGTGTCTGTGCTTTTCATTTACACTGGTTTTCTACATTTTTCTTTTGTTCTTGAGGATTTTAATGAAAATGTGAGGTTGATTCTCTCTCAAAAATCTCGAGCACAATTTTATTTTCGCCAATTCACATGGTATCAGAGCAAGGCTAGATCGATCTTGAAATGGCGACTGCTAGGAATACGGCCAACTGGCCGCTGTTGAATGCCGGAGACGGCAAACCAAATTCATCCAGATCCAATTCCGCCATTGACGACCCGATTCACCTTCAGAGTTCTGATAATCCAGGAATGATCTTAGTATCGCACCAGCTCACAGGGACAAATTACCTTCCGTGGAGAAAATCGATGACAATTGCACTTGGAGCCAAATCCAAACTCGGTTTCATCAACGGTAAGATCCCTGAACCAGATGAAACTGATGAAAATTATGAAGTGTGGAAGAAAACAGATTATATGATTATCTCTTGGATTCTCAACACGCTTTCAAAGGATATAGTTGAGAGTTTTGTTTATGCTAACAATGCCAAGGATCTGTGGGATAGCATAGCTCGAAGGTACGGCCAGAGCAATGGTCCTTTGCTTTATAAGTTGCAGCGAGAAATCACTAGCATAACACAAGGTCATGATTCTATTGTTGATTATTTCTCGCGGATTAAGAGGCTATGGGATCAATATGATAATCTTAAAAATCGCAACCCTACACGTGTCTTTAAAACAAAACAAACAAGACAAAAGGAAAAAGAGAAAAACGTCTCTTGAAGTAAAACACGAGAGCAATAGAAAGTGTGCACGCTTCATCTTCAAAAATACTTTTGGGAGAGGTGATTCGAAAAAAGGAGGACAGTATATAGGAAATAAAGGTTTCGGCAGAGGTAGAAGTGTTCCAAGAAGAACCAAAGAGGAGAAGGCAAAGTTAGTGTGTGAGTATTGTCGTGCACATGGACATGAGATGGCTGAATGTTTCAAGCTACACGGTGTGCCTGAATGGTATCATAAATACAAGGAACAACAGAGACCTCAAGGATATGTGAATGCAGCTGTTGACAAGACTGAAATTAAATCCTCTACCTCAGAAAGTAGTTCTCAAAATTCAGGAGCACCATCAGATCTTTCTTCAGTTATTCAACAGGAGCTAGCAAAGTTCTTTGGCTCAAAGAGTACAAGTGAGGTGAATGACACTGATTATGTTCACTTTGTGAACTCAGCAGGTATTAATTCTTCCACTCATTATGCTCTAAGTACAATTGAAGGTGTTGATAGTGGTTCTTGGGTTCTAGACACTGGTGCAAGCAAACATATGTGCATTGATTTAACTCTTATACATGATTTGAAACCTTTGTCTCCTGCCATTCATGTTCATTTACCTAATGGAACTTCTTTCAAAGTTACACATGGTGGATCTGTTAGGTTAACCCATGCTCTAACCCTTCATGATGTGTTGTACATACCAGAATTCAAATACAATCTTCTATCAATACCTCAACTCACAGTCCAATGTCATATGAAATGTATTTTTACACCAAACCTTTGTTTGTTACAGGACCTTAACACACATGCAACCTTAGCCATGGGAAAATTGGTGGGGAAGCTTTACCTTCTTCAGAATAATTCTCATCACATGTTACCTGCTCACAAAATTACCTGTTCTTCTGCCATTGACGATAGGTCATTGTTTTTTTGGCATCAAGTCTTAGGCCATGCCTCTTTAAATGTACTTGAACATTTACAGTTTCTGAAGCCACATTGTACTCAGTCTGATGTTGATATGATAAGGAATTGTGAGTCTTGCTTTAAAGGAAAATATCATAGATCTCCTTTTCCTGTTTCACATATAAAATCTACCTCTAATTTTGAGTTGCTACATCTAGATATTTGGGGACCTTGCAAAGAAACATCAATCACAAACACCCCATTCTTTCTTACCATTGTAGATGACCATAGTAGGGGGACTTGGGTATACTTGTTGAAACAAAAGAGTGAGGTTCCTGGTCTTATCGTACAGTTTGTTCATATGATCATGACACAATTTAATGCCAAAGTTAAGTTCATCAGGACTGATAATGGCCTGGAGTTTCTTAGCCAAACTTGCCAAGCTTTTTTTCATACATTGGGGATTGTACACCAAACTACTTGTGTTCACACCCCACAACAAAATGGGGTGGTTGAGAGAAAACACAGACATATCCTAGATATAGCCAGATCAATTATGTTCCACTCACATCTGCCTATTCATTTTTGGCCATACTCAATCTTATATGCCACTCATATCATTAACAGGTTGCCTTCTTCGGTTTTAAAATGGAAAACTCCTTTTGAAGTACTACATAATATGCCACCAGATTATTCAATTCTTAAACCTTTTGGATGTTTATCATATGCTGCCAATAACATACCCAACAAATCCAAATTTACACCAAGAGCACTTAAATGCATTTTTTTGGGGTTCACTTCTGGAAAGAAAGGCTTCCATTTATATGACTTGTCCAACCATAAATTTCTTTTCTCCAGGGATGTGACTTTTCTACCACATGATTTTCCATATCAACAAATTGTTCAAGGAACTTCTGATTGTACTGTGCCTATACCCATATCCCAAGATGATACTTGCACTTCACCCATTATTAACTCATCATCATCTGCCTCAGCTCCTTCAACCCTAACTGCACCTGTTATTCCCAAAAGGACCAGGAGACCACCACCTTGGCTTAATGATTATGAAGTTTACTCAATGCATGATTGTTCAATACCTGCCTCTGACCCTCTTGTCAAACATGTTAGTTATAGTCATGCATTTTGTGAGTTTTTGCACCAAGTGTCTATTATAAAAGAACCTACTTCATACACTGATGCTTGTACCCAAGATCATTGGGTGGAGGCTATTAATGTTGAGCTTGCAGCTCTTGAAACTAATGACACATGGGAGTTGACTGATTTACCTAAAGGAAAGAAGGCAATCGGTAGTAAATGGGTTTTTAAAGTTAAAATGAAGATGGATGGGACTGTTGATAGGTACAAAGCACGGTTAGTTGCAAAGGGTTTTAACCAAATTTTTGGAGTTGATTACAATGATAGTTTTTCTCCTGTGGTGAAGATGGTCACTGTTAGATATTTCATTGCCTTTGTCACTGTTAAAGGGTGGCCACTTATGCATTTTGATGTGAATAATGCATTTCTTCATGGATATCTCCATGAAGAAGTCTACATGAAGCCACCAGATGGCTATACTAAGGCAGCTCCCGGTCAGGTTTGTAGACTCAAAAAAAGTTTGTATGGGCTCAAACAAGCCTCCCGAGAGTGGAATCAGGAATTTACTTCTAAGTTGATTGATTATGGGATGAAACAGTCACCTTTTGACCACTGTCTGTTCATTCTTGCCAAAGGATCTTCTTTTCTGGCTGTTTTAGTTTACGTGGATGATTTATTAGTTACTGGTAGCACTTTAGAAGAAATTGTGGCTTTGCAATCTTATCTGCATGATCTCTTTACCATTAAAGACTTGGGGGCTGCAAGATACTTTCTAGGCATGGAAATCACAAGGGGAAGTGATGGTACTTTCTTGAGTCAACATAAGTACATCAAGGATTTATTAGCTGAGGTTCACATGGATGCTTCTAAGCCTGCTTCTACTCCACTTCCCCATGGTTTATCACTTGCTGCACACCAAGGGGAACCACTTGAAGATCCTGAGAAATATAGGAGGTTAATTGGTCGGCTTCTCTACTTGAATTTAACTCGCCCTGATCTTACATATTCGGTCCAACAATTGAGTCAGTTTGTTACTCACCCATGCACTGATCACTGGAAAGCTGCTTTACATGTTTTGAGATATCTCAAAGGCTGTTCACATCAAGGTCTGTTTTATTCATCTCGTTCCTCTCTTGATCTTAAGGCCTATGCCGATGCTGATTGGGCCTCTTGTAAAGACACCAGACGCTCCATTACAGGTTATTGTATCTTTCTTGGTGCATCATTAATCTCTTGGAAAAGTAAAAAACAGGGCACAGTTTCTAAATCCACTGCAGAGGCTGAGTACCGTTCCTTAAGTAGCACGGTTCATGAACTTCAGTGGTTGTCTTATATTAGTTCAGAATTCAGGGTTGACCTTTCTCTCCCGATATCTCTTTATTGTGATAATCAGGCAGCCATTCATATCTCGGCAAACCCGGTTTTTCACGAGCGCACTAAGCATCTCGACATTGATTGTCACATTGTGCGAGATAAGTGCAAAGATGGTTTCATTGAGCTGCATCATGTCTCTACCACTTCTCAACTTGCTGATATATTCACTAAGCTGCTACAAGGTCCTCGTTTTCGCTGGTTGCTGTCCAAGCTCGGACTGGTGTCTTTCGTCCCAAGTCCGGCTTGAGGGGGGGATGTTGAAGATGAAGCGTGCACACTTTCTATTGCTCTCGTGTTTTACTTCAAGAGACGTTTTTCTCTTTTTCCTTTTGTCTTGTTTGTTTTGTTTTAAAGACACGTGTAGGGTTGCGATTTCCCTGATCTGCTCCTTGTTGGGCATGAGATATTTTTGTGTCTGTGCTTTTCATTTACACTGGTTTTCTACATTTTTCTTTTGTTCTTGAGGATTTTAATGAAAATGTGAGGTTGATTCTCTCTCAAAAATCTCGAGCACAATTTTATTTTCGCCAATTCACAATTATGTCGTGTTTTTTTTGTTTGTTTTTTTTCTGGGCCGAGCTGGGCTTTATGGACATAACTTATAATTGTTTCGGCTTGCGAATAATTGATCGAATTAGTTGATTCTGGGTAATGTTGATACATAATTTGTTGTTTATTATGCAAAACAACTAATTTGACAATCTTTTACTTCAAGAAGCCCATATATGGAGCTTAAATTGCTATTTTAAATTGCTACCTACGGCACAATGAAATTATAGATTTTGACTGCTCAAACATTAGTACACATCAAACCTCTAATTTAAGTCTGCAATGTTTGTATTTACTCCTATGCAAAGTTGAATCATAAGCTACACTAGTATTCCATTTGCACATATGTAAATAAATATTGCTATCTCTTATTTTTAATAAGTGTCGTTTTGAGAAAT